CCCCAAAACCCCAAAACCCCAAAACCCCATTATAACCAAGATTGAATTATATAGAAGAGTTATTAATTAGAATTTACTTTAATATCATCTAAAATCTTATGTTGACGTTTTAAATAACTTAATCAGGAGTTAATTAATTTAGCAGGTATTAGCATGTCATTAATCTAATTCTATTTATCATCATTCGCTATATCATTTTTCTGTTTCTACAGCTTCTCATTTTCAGATCTTTGTATAGACTCGCTGGCTATTTGATTCCAATCTGAGAGGAAAAATATTAGGAAGATGTAATAAATGGTGCAAAGTATTTATGAAACTAAAATACCTCCCCAAATAGCTGTAATACCAAGTTCAAGACAAAAGAGTAAATAGCATTAAAGTGGCAGGCCTATTATATAGAAAAATACGAATATACCTGCTGTAGCTTATTTCAAAATACCTAAACCTCTAATCACTCCCACTAGCCATCCACTAGTACAACCAAAAAATGTATTCAAAGAAATCAAGTAAGTTACATTTCCAATAATTTATTGAATATTCTCATCATTAGTGAACACTGAAGTTAAATATTTGCCGAAATATTATATTGTAAACCATTATATTATACCCAATGAAACTCCAATCATGCTCAAAACTCTTAAGACATCTTTACCTTAAGGAATGTTGTTTGAACCAATGGATTTTCCTATAAGGGCAGAAGATGAGATAGTTAGACCTACTGTCATCATGTAAAGTAGAAATATCATATTATGAATAATAGATTGAGCTGCGGCCAAATCATTCGAAACAGTACTAATTATAATTGTCTAAATCTAGTAAGCCCATGAAAAAATACTCCAGAGTAACATTGAAGGTAATGCTAATTTAACATATTCCCAAAGTCCATTAAATGATTATCTGTTCGGCCAAAAAAATGCTTCTTTAAGGTCTTTTTCTAAACTGATGAATATAGCCATTAATAAAATATTTGTTATCTATGTAATAGTATTGGAGTATGCTGTGCCTTCAAGTTTTAAATCTAGGTAGTTGATAAAGAAATAACTCCAAAAATAATGCATGAAGCATGTAAATATCTATGTATACATTGAGATATATGTTCTGCCAAAAGCGTTCATAAATATTCTAAGTTAATCAAAAAAGGCATTCAGAAAAAGAGAAGGAATCATATACCATATATATAGCGAAGCTTACTCTGAAGTTTTTGGCTAAACTCATGTAAATTCAAAAAAGTATTTTGAACTCATCATAATAATGGCAACAGGTATGAAGGCAATAACTATGATGACTCTGCCTTTGTTGAGATAAACCCCGCATAAATATAGGTTTCCTTATCCATAACATTGTGATACAAGAGTACTAAGAATGGCATTAAGTCCACATATCGTTAGTATACCAAAAATCATTATATATACATTCCCTAGACCGACTCCTGCAACAAGAGTTGGATCTCCAAACTACCCCATAAACATAAGATTCATAGCTTCAACTAATCCGAATGACATAGACGCAATCATGCCAGGAATAGCAATTTTCATAATATCTTTAGCTAATTAAAATTTGGATATTTTTTACACAGCTGGTTGATTTAATTCCATCTTTTGTAATTGTTGAATATCTGGCGTAATATTAAGGCTTTTCTAGCTTGTTAAAGTAGCAGATTTATGATTATTTGCCAGAATAAAGTGTACCTTTTTACAAGGATTAATCTTTATAGGTATCTTGGTTTTCATTATTAATTTACAACTTGCTTTGATTCTAAATAATAATATTTAATAAAAACTTCCTAATAATTTCGCAGACTTTACTTAATTGACAGTTTTTTTGTTTAAGGGGTTTTGGGGTTTTGGGGTTTTGGGG